TACGTTCGCGCGCACTTTCGTTGACCGGCGCAGCAATCGTCGCCCGGTGACGCGCGATTGCGCGGATGCATCCCTGACGAAGTGCGCAGACGATTTGGCGAAGAATCTTTTGGTGACAGCATAGTGGTGGGAGCCCTGTCAACTAAGCTGCCTCAGAAATGTCAGGCCTCGAATGACGATTTGGATGAGGCGCTGGGGGCGGTGGGTTCCTGGCAGAATATCAGCAAGCAAAACGCGCTCCTTCACATCTGCGGCGCCAGCGCGGCAACGGCGCTGCGGGCTGTCAAGCATGGTGGTCGCTCTTTTCCTGGCGCGCTTGCGTGCGAGATCAAGAGTTTGGCCGCCGCGTTCATGTCTGATGCGATTCGATGGGGGCCCGAGGGCCAGAGTCGCAGTCCTAAGTCTCCGTTATCCGAGGGGCCCTGTGCTCCACGAGGGCCTTCTGGACCTTGCGAGGGGTCGACGCAGGTTTCCACGCTGCGTGTTCGTGTCTGCAACGTACAATACAGCGTTGTCCGGGAAGGAAGCGCTTGCCCTTACGTTTAAGTCGGGCTTGTCTCTCGAATAGCACGAGGAATATCCAAGAATAGTCAAAAATAGTCTGGGGACGACTTTTGGAGTATTTATTGTTGGGTGTTTGTTTGGTCATTTTCAGGGTGATTTAACATTCTCGCCCGAAATCCGCCTGTAGGAGGACATGCCCGACCTGACCTTACGTCTATCCAATCGTTGCAAGTGGCTCGCGCGTTGGCCAGGCACGCTCGGCGAGAGAGGCGAGGTACGGCCTCTTCCTGGGAGGGCCCTCCTCCGAGAGCCACGGCGTCTGCCGAGATCTCGGCCTGGCGGGGACTGGCCCCGCCGGAGAAAGGAGGCCAGAGCACGGCGTCCGAAGCACTGGCAGTCTCTTGCGCAAGGCACCGCCCGCGCTTCAAGCAGTGGCGAAGCGTCTTGGCGTGCCCATAGGCCTAGCAAACCATGTGCTCAGAACCTTTTGCGGCTGCCACGACATATATTCTTAGAACATTTCTGGTTGGGACTGTCTTGTCTTGTTTTGTTTTGTTTTATCACACTGGGTTTATGTTTTGTTCCCTACCTAGGCCCTAGGCTCTGCCTAGAAGGGTTCATATTGTCTTCGCTTAAAGGGCCGGGCAGTGGAACACGCCCCGGGCGGTTCCCCCGGTCCCCTGGCAGTGGTTCCCCCAGTTGCGCTCCTTGGGTGCCAAGCAAAAGCAACAGCAAAGGCAAAAGTGAAGGCAAAAGCGAAGGCAAAGCAAAAGCATAGCATAGCATAGCATAGCATAGCATGGCATGGCATGGCATGGCATAGCATAGCGCAGCATAGCATAGCGCAGCATATCATAGCATGGCATAGCCTAGCCCAGCATAGCATTGCGCAGCATAGCAGAGCAGAGCAGAGCAGAGCAGAGCAGAGCATAGCATAGCATAGCATAGCATAACATAACTCAGCACAGCATCCACTATTGCTGCTGCTGCTGATACCTATATATATATATATATAGGTACTTATGTGTGCGTGTGTGTGCGCACGTATGTTCCATGCATGTTGTCCGTATGTGGGCCATCTTGAGCCCTTAGTGGGGCAGCTTGAGCCCTTAGGATTCACGAAGATTTCGCACATAGCACCGGCCGGGAGACATGAAACCCGACGATGAGGAGAAGGAGGAGGACGGCGTTTACCGCTCCTACTAATGTTGCTCTCCTAGAGGCTCCAACTCCTAGGTAGGGTCGCACTGGGATAATTTTTGTTATTAGAACATTTCTCGGTACTACAAACATTTTGTGGTATGCCTGTCGGGATGCCAGGAGGTCCCTGCTCAACCGCTGCCCATCAACAAGCTGTCAGTTTACTCTTCTCAAATCTACGCGGGAGGGCCTACGGGTACGCGTCGCACTCGAGCGGGCGACTCGACGAGCCCCCCTCCTCCCTCCTCCCCCTTCCCCCTCCGTCCTCGTCCTCTTCCTCATCCTTCTCCTTCTCGTCCTGTCCCGAGGCCCGCCATTTTTGCCCTGATATCCGGAATTCGGGAGTGCCGGACGAGGGGGCTACCTTGTTGGAGGCCTTTGCCAATCGTTTTCTTTTGCCCTTCACAGTTGACGAATCGCGCGGGAATTTCGCGAGATTTCATGCTCGCCAGCTTCGAATAGATGCGTTGCCCGTGGCGCTGCCACCCCCTTGTTTCCCGCCTCCGGATGACTCGATGCCGATAGTTGCTGGCAGCTGGAATGATGGCATGTTTCGGCGCATGGTAGCGGGGGAGGCCGGGGAGCCGCGTCGCCAAGCGTCACGGGACTGCCGTGCGGTCCGAGCTCATATTTTTGCCCTTCAAGGCCACCAATACTTGGCGAACGTCGAGCGCGCGCGCATCCATCCACTGCCCCGCATGTGCGAGTCCCAGACATGATCGCGTCGTACAAAATTCAGGACGGAGGTTTTTCGCCGTTTTCGGAATCTGGAGGCCCTCGCAGGGCCCCGGGGCTGTCAAACAACGACGCAGGATGAAGAGCCGGTCCTGGGGAAAGGGTCGGGATTTCCGGGGACGCCACATCGAACAAATCAGGAGAGCGTTTGTTTTTCCTCTGGCGGGTAACGCTTGCTACCCGGGCCCAACCCCCCCCGTGTAACGCTAACGATCGTGCGTTTTGTGGGAGTGGAGGGCGGACCCCTATCCTCTCAGCAGGTATGGCGGTGTGCTCGCAGGCATGGCGTGGTGTTGAAAGGCATGTGTGGTGCTCACAAACGTGTTGTGGCGTTCGCAGGTTCCCCACCTGCTGCGGCGCCGAATTCACAGGCATGGCGTGGTGCTACAAGGCCCTTGTTACAAGGCACGTTTCGGTGCTTACCTGCCCGTTGTGGCGCTTGCAGGCTATTGCACTGCGCGGACTAGTGTGGTTTACGTCTACATCCTTATGTTCTCTTCCCCTGCTCTTCCTATTGGTGGATCTGAGGAAGCAATGCTGCCAGGGGATTTCGCAACCATGTCTGGGTGGAGCAACGGTTATCCCGCGTCTGTTACAATTGGCGCTGGCGAAAGCGAGGCGACGTCGAACGATGCCATGAGTGCAGTTGCTTTATGGCATAACATATCCCTACCTCCTCCCGCTTGCCCCACCGCCTACTAATGTCCCCCCCTTTTTCGTCATCCTTTGCCCCTCCTCCTCCTCCTCCTCCTCCTCCTCCTCCTCCTCCTCCTCCTCCTCCTCCTCCTCCTCCTCCTCTCCTTCCTCTTCCCCTCTGGATTGCGCTATGCGTTATTGGGATTATATAGGTGGCCGTTTGGGCCATATGCGGTTGTCCTCACGGCGCCCTTGCCCCTTCGCCTCGTCCTCCCCCTCGCTCCTCCTCGTCCTCCTCGTAGGCTTTCGTTAGCACTTGCGGGCGGAATTTCGTGACATGTCGTTGCGTGCTGGCGCGCCGAGGTGCGATGTGGTTGTTCGCTCTGATATGTTCATGTTTTATATATAGAGAATAAGAATAGTAGTAGTAGTAGTAGTAGTAGTAGTAATAATAATACTACTAATACTAATCATAATAATAATAATAATACCGATAACACTAACAATAATAATAATATAAAATTCCTTCCAACCTCCCCCAATCCCTCCCGCGTCCCTCCTCCCCAACCACGCTTTCGAGTCCCCCCCTCCCCCCACATCTTTCCATATCTTTTTTGGCCGTTTCGTTCGAAGCTAACTAAGGATTCTCTGGCCCAAATTTCACGGAGTGCCAACCCAGCAGCTTGCGTGCCATCGATATTACTCTCCAGGTACGGCCGTGTATACGGGGGACGTGGTGAGGGTTTCCGCGGTCTGCGGCGGGCCCCGCCAAAAAAAGGCTTCGCAAGCTACCGATGTGCCCGTTGGCACGTTTTGCTGTAGACAGGCGTTGTGGTGCACGGAAGCATTGTGGCGTGCGCAGGCGCTGTGGTGCACGTGGTTGCTGTGAAGCACGCAAGCGCCGCGGTGTACACAAGCGCTCTGGCACACGCAGGCAATGTGGTGTACACAAGCGTTGTTGCGCACGCGGCTGCTGCAGTATACAGATTTTGCGGCGTACATGGGCGACGTGGTGGCGTTGTGCACGCAGCTGTTGTGGTGTACCGAAGCACTGTGGTGCACTCAGGCGGCGATGTCTTGCACGAATGCATTTGGCATTGTCGCGTGCGCAGGGCTTGCAGCGCGCGCAAGCAATTGATGCGCCGATGGCGCGGACGCACCCTGGCGGGCGCACGCCGCGGCCGCCGTTACCGTTACCCGCCGGCCCAACCCCCCTTAGGTAACAGCCGTTACCCAAAATAATAAAACATTGTCCCAAGGACGTCGCACATTTGGGGTGTTTTCGTTCGTGCGTGCTCGCGTCGCCGACGCCGTTCCCGGAGTCTTTTTCGCGGCTGTCGCAGCAAGGACTCGCAGTGGAGACCATGCGAAGAAACACATTGCTTGCCTCCAGGGTGTCCTGGATTTCTTGGGTCTCGATGGCCTTGCGATGGGAAGCGTGACGTTCCCACACCAGAAACTGATCGACGTCCTGGGGTCTCAGGGTCGGGTTTCTTGTGGAAGGTCTCTTGTGGTCGAGCCTTAACGTTTTTGGTGTGGAAAGTCTCTTTGTGGTCGAGCCCCAACTGTAGCTTGCGGGCTGTACGTGCGCTCGTGTATCGTTGGAGTGCCCACTGCGTGAGTACACGCAGCCCAGGAATATGTTTGTTCAATCGCAGCGGCATCTGCGCGCCCATCTTGATCTCTGCAGCGCAGGGCTCGTCTGTATGTTCAACTGCAGCGGCATCTGCGCGCCCATTTCGATCTCTGCAGCGCAGGGCTCGCTTCGAGTCCTGGGGTGCGATTCGATTCGACTTCGACGGTTTCCGATCCCGACCCGATTCGACTTCGGATTCAGATTTGGATTCCGATTCTTCAATGAGGCCTCACTGCTCTGCCGCTTTCCGCTGATTCGACTCTTCCCGACTTGGCTGCCGATTTCTGCCGATCCGATTCATTTCGATCGCCGATTCGACTCATCGGTTCGATTCTGGGCTCTCCTGCTGCCGCGTCGCGCACCATGGATCGCCCTCTGGCGTGGATGCGTGGATGCTGAAGCGCCAGGCCGACGCCGAGTGGCCCGCCATCCGGGACGGCGGGGCCACGGGGCCAGGGCAGGGGCGTTGATCGGAGAGGCTTCGGAGGAGTCGGAGGCCAGGGGCGGCGCCGCGCTCTCGAAGGGTCGCCTTCGCCGACATTGGCGCGTAAGCCGCCCGCGTCAGGTCGCGTGTCAGCGCACTCGTCGCCAGTGCAGCATGCCGCGCTGGCGGCCCGCGTAAGCTACAGCGTTAGGTCGCCGTGCCATCTCGCGCAAGACCCGTTTTTGATCGTCGCTCGTGTTGGGCGCGGCCGAGCTGCGCGACGTCTGAAGGGCGGCGCGCGCGACGTGGCTCGTCATCTCCAACGGCCCCGCGAGATACAGGCCGCCCAGCGCGCGCGCCAAGCGGGCGCAGCGGAGGAAGAGCGACGGGGATAAAGCCCCCTCTTCCTCCTCCTCCTCCTCCTCAACCTCTTCCTCCTCCTCCTCCTCCTCCTCCTCCTCACTCTCCTCCTCCTCCTCCTGCTCCTCATGCCTTCTCCTCCTGCCTCCTGCTCCTCCTCTTCCTCCTCCTCCTCCTCTTCCTCCTCTTCCTCCTCCTCCTCCTGCTCGACTTTCCGTTCCGCCATTGCCAGAGCGGAACTCGGCCCATTGATCGTTCTTGCGTAGGCGGCGCTCGCGCAAGGCATGGGGGCGGGCCCGAACGGCCCGCCGCGCACCCGGAAGGCCTTCGAGCAGCACTGAGGGGGCGAAATTCTCGGGAGGGAGCCTCGGCGGGTGGTGGAAGAGATCCAGACGCGTCGGGTGCGCCCGACGCGCCTCGGTGGCTACGGATCGTGTAGCAGCAAAACGCAAACACGCGACAACAGTTCGCAAGTCGGGCGACAAGCATTGGCAATCCTGCGCTGCATGGCGTGGCAAGATCAGAAGATGTTGAACCTCAAGCGTGATATACAATAACACCTGTGCCGGCCCCGCCCACCCGAGCGAGCGATGACGAGTTCCCATGCCAGTTGCTAGGACACATAATGCAGAACATGATGCAGGGAAACGACGACGCGACGACCAACGACGACCAATGACTACGACGACGACAACGACGACGACGATGACCACGAACGCGCATGGCGACGCCGACGACGATCGACGACCAACGACGACCGGTCACGAATGGCGACAACGACGACGACGGCGAGGACGAGGACGACGACAAGACGACAAGACGACACGACCACAAGACAACAAGAAGACGAAGACGACGACGACGACCACGAACGACGATGGCGACGCCGACGACGATCGACGACCAACGACGACCGACCACGAACGGCGACCGACGACAACCGACGAACGACGACGCCGACGCCGACGGGTGACGAGCGACGCGCGACGAGTGACGAGCTTCGTTACGAGCGACGCGCGACGAGCGACGCGCCACGAGCGACGAGCGACGAGACGACGCCCCCCCGAAAGGCGACCTCCCCGGCGGCTGCGACCGCGAGGGTTCCGAGCGGCGCTGGGCGGAGCTCTTGGCACCTGGGAGCCAGGCCGCCGCGGCAGCCCGCGGCAGCGGCCGCGGGGGCGACGACGACGACGACGACGACGACGACGACGACGACGGCGGCCACCACGTCGCGGCCACGAGGGCGAGGACGACCCACAGCTCCCTCCTCCTGCCCGCTCTTGCCCCCTCCTCCTGCCTCCAGCTCCTCCTCCTCCTCCTCCTGCCTCCAGCTCCTCCTCCTCCTCCTCCTCCTCCTCCTCCTCATCCTGCATCCAGCTTCCTCCTCCTCTTCCTCCTCCTGCTGCTCATGCCTTCTCCTCATGCCTCCTTCGCCTGCTCCTCCTCCTCCTCCTGCTCCTAAGGCCTCCTCGTCGTCCTCCTCCTCCTCCTACTCCTCCTCCTGCTCCTCCTCCTCCTCCTCCTCCTCCTCCTCCTCCTCCCCGACCGCGATTGACGACGGCCGCGACCGCGACTACCACGGCCGCACACGCCCGAGGCGGGCGGCGGGCATCTCCGTTCGCGCGGGGTGCGCCGCGCCGGCGTGTCGCTTCGCAGGGGGGCGCCGACATTGGGCGTGCCGGCGGCCATCCTGCCAGCCCATCGGATGAGGAGGAGGAGGAGGAGGAGGAGGAGGAGGAGGAGGAGGAGGGAGAGGAGGGGGAGGAGGAGGAGGAAGAAGAGGGAGGAGGAGGGAGGAGGAGGAGGAGGAGGAGGAGGAATGAGGAGGAGGAGGAGGAGGAGGAGGAGGAGGAGGAGGAGGAGGCGCTTCGAATTGTGGCACCGTCTTCGAGGTATGCGCCACAGGAAAACAATCGATCATCATGTCGGTGAGGGGGGGCAGGGTCTGCACTTTGGGGCCCCTACTCAGGCTGCTACTTCAGTGGGCTAAGTATGCCGAGGGTTCCCTCGATGCCGGTTGGTGGCCGCCCGTGCGCGCCTCGGAAAAAGGTACACGCGGGTCGTTGAGAGTAGGTATTTTTACATTCCCGGATTTGGATTCCCCGATCCCGCTGCATCAATAGTCGGAGCGTCGTCTTGCTTCAATAATCGGTATGCTTCTGCTGCGTTGTGTCGTTCTCTGGGTGGGCCTGAACCCAATCTACTTGATCCGCTTTCCTACTTCATGTTTTGCTCACTTAAGTCGGGCACGTCCTTCTAAAGGAGGACTGTTCAAAAATAGCCCAAAAATAGTTGGGGGCAATTTTCGAATATGCTTCGACATTTTGTGTGTGCATGTTTGGGGCATTTGAGAGGTATTTGTTCCCCTCCAAAATCCGCCTGTAGGGGGACATGCCCGTCCTAAGCCTACTTCTTCCGACCAGTGTGCACCCATACTGCTACCCTCGCCCCAGAATCCATTTTTTCAGCCGCCTCGGAGAACCTCGTCGCCACCGCTGGATTCGCCTCGGAATTCCGGTCAGAACGCACCCTGGGAGAGGCCCAGGGAGTAGCAGTATCGGTACCTTGTGGTTCCCGCAGTCCAGCCGCCGCGAAGGAAGAAGCGAGTCGCCGTGGGAGAGAAGCGGGTCCCGAGGGAAACGGGTTTTGAGGCTTTTCGCCGTCATCGGGTGCCCAGGGCCCTTCACGGGGTCCTTCGGGCTGTCAGAAAGCGACTCAGGATGAAGAACCTGGTCTTGTGAGAAGGCCCCAGGGTCCAGGACCCGTTTCCCTCAGGACCCGCTTCCCCCCATGTCAGGCAAGGAAGGAGGGAGGAGAGTTAGGAGGAGGAGGAGGAGGAGAAGGAGGAGGAGGAGGAGAAGGAGGAGGTGGATCGGATCGACTCGGCAGGAGGAAGCGTCAATCCAGCTCCGCAGCGCCGTCTGGGGTCCCTCTACTGTTGGAGGGACCGCAAGGATGAAACTTGAAGCTCAAAGTCAGTTGCGGCAGTACTTATGTCCCGCCCTGCCAGGCGGAGGAGGAGGTGGAGGGAGGCGGGAGGAGGTCTCCTCCGCCTCCTCCGCCCTCTGCCCTCTCCTCCTCTTCCTCCTTTCTGGGCCACGTTGCCTGGGGACTGCTCCAAACGAAGACCAGGTAGAGAGCGGGCTCGGGCATGCGGTGGCGGAAGTTGCATGCGAGTCGTGGCGCCATCCGCCCCTGGACGCTGGCCCGGGATTGCATCGGAGCCTGGGGACGGCCAGGCTGCGGGAGGACCCCGCGGTAGGCGAGGACCCAGGAGGTGGTAGGAGGAGGAGGAGGAGGAGGAAAACGATGATGCTGCTGCTGATGATGATGCTGATGATGATGGTGATGATGCTGATGATGATGATGATGATGATGATGATGATGATGATGATGATGATGATGATGATGATGCTGATGCTGATTATGATGCTGCTGATGATGATGATGCTGATGATGATGATGATGATGATGAATGATGATGGATGATGATGATGATGATGATGATGATGATGATGATGATGATGATGATGATGATGATGATGATGATGCTGATGTGATGCTGATGCTGATGATGATGATGATGATGAGGAGGAGGAGGGGAGGAGGAGGAGGAGGAGGAGGAGGGTGAGGAGGATATAGAGGAGGAGAGGGAGGAGGGAGGAGGAGGAGGAGGAGGAGGAGGAGGAGCAGGAGCAGGAGCAGAGAGAGGAGTAGTAGTAGTAGTAGTAGTAGTAGTAGTAGTAGTAGTAGTAGTAGTAGTAGTAGTAGTAGTAGTAGTAGTAGTAGTAGTAGTAGTAGTAGTAGTAGTAGTAGTAGGAGGAGGAGTAGAGGAGGAGGAGGAGGAGGAGGAGGAGGAGGAGGAGGAGGAGGAGGAGGAGGATGAGGAGGAGGAGGAGGAGGACGAGGAGGAGGAGGAGGGGGGAGAAGGAGGAGGAGGAGGAGGAGGAGAGGAGGAGGAGGACGAGGACGAGGACGAGACGAGCTGGACGAGGAGGACGAGGGACGAGGAGGAGGAGGAGGAGGAGGAGGAGGAGGAGGGAGGAGGGGAGGAGGAGGAGAAGGAGAAGGAGGAGGAGGAGGAGGAGGGGGGGGGAGGACGAGGAGGAGGAGGAGTAGGAGGAGGAGGCGGAGGAGGAGGAGAAGGAGGAGGAAGACGAGGAGGGATCAGGAGGAGGAGGCGGAGGAGGAGGAGGAGGAGGAGGAGATGAGGAGGAGGAGATGAGGAGGAGGAGCAGGGTGAGCAGGAGCAGAGAGACTACCAGGACGCGGGGGGGGGGGGCACGATGGGCAGAACGGCGGCGGAGGAGAGGCGGCTCAGGAGGAGATGCGGGCGGTGAGGAGGCACGTTGGCCCACCGCACGTGCACCGAGGCCCCTTCGGCCCGTGCAGTCTGCCCCGCGGCGCGGGCGGGCGCTCGGCCGCAGGCTGGCGCCGCCGCGGTGTACCGCAAGGAGTACAGCTGGTCGATGCGGGAGCGGCTTGAGCTGCTTGCGGGGGCGTGAGCTCCTCGGCCCCATTCCTTCCTCCTGCTCCTCCTCCTCCTCCTCCTCTCCTCCTCCTCCGCTCCGTAGCCATTTTGGCTCAAGATGCCAGGTTCCCGCGGGGATCGCACGGATACCGCTAGTCCGCGGCAGGCAAGAGTCTTTGTGCTCTGGCAGTCGGGCGCCTTTCCTCTAGTTTCTCGCGCGCGATGGGGCGCGGCGCGGGGCAGGGGCGTGGAGGAGGTCGCTCAGACAAACCCGTGGGATGGGTGCGCCAGGAGTGTGGCTACTACAACTTCGCCGAGCGCAAGTGCTGTCGATTCGGGGGCCAAGGGGGCGGCAAGCCGTCGCAGAGGGTCCTGGGCAGCTTCCTCCCGCACGGGGCTTCAGGTCGTGGCGGTGCTCCTGGCGCTGGCGGTGGCGGGCGTGGTGGGCGTGCCGGTGCTGGCGCGCTTGCGACCCGTGCGCCGTGGTGGCGAGGTGATGAGGGCGGTGAAGGAGGTCAGCGTGCTGCGGGGATGGTGCTCAGTGACGATGAGCGGCGCGAGCTCGTCAGCATGTCGGATGTACAGTTCGCCATTGCGACCAAGCTCTTCAGCGCGAGGATCAGGAACGAGCTCCAGCAGGCCAGGCGGCTGGTGCGTGAAGGGCTGGGCGACGACCTGTCCAAGGATAAGGCCGTCAAAGCGGCCCAGCTGCTGGCCGACGAGAAGGCGCAGAAGGTCAAGCGGACCGAGCACCTGCTGGAGCTGGCCAGGGCGAAGGCGAGGGCGGCCATCAACGAGACGGCGGACCTCACGGGGAAGCTGGTGCAGCCGCGGCAGGAGCTGGCTGAGGCAGGGCGCGCGAGGCGCTGGCGGCTCAGAGTGCCAGGCTGGCGGAGACCGCTGTTGCAGCTGAGGTGGCTACAGCAGCGTCTGCTACCCCTGCCTCCCTGCCAGAGGTCAAGGCGGCGCTCGCGGGCTGGGCCAAGTCCAGCGGGGAGGCGGCGAGCCCAGTGCTCAGCGACGAGTTCGTCAAACTGTCCGAGGCGGTCGAGAGGCTGTTCGAGTGGAAGAGCGAGGCTGCAGGGGAGGGGTCTGGAGAGCCAGATCCTGTGCAGCCGCCTCCTGCGGTGGCTGGCGCTGCTGCAGCCACGAGGGCAGGGGCTGCGGCAAGGCCGTCTGCTGTGGCTGAGCCTCGGCCGCAGCAGCCATCCCCTGAGGTGCAGCAGGCCTGGAAGGAGCTGGAGGAGCAGTTCGTGGACCCTGACGAGAGGAAGGCGGCTGAGGCCCTCATCAAAGAGGCCAAGAAGATGCGCACGGGGGAGGAGGAGATGGACGCAGAGTCCTAGCAAGGGGTCTGGCGTCTGGAGGATCTGCACGGTCAATGTCAACGCGTTCAGCAGCCTGGGCAAGTGCTTGATGGTGCAGGAGGTGCAGAACTGCGACGCCATCCTGGTGCAGGAGACCAGGCTGCTGGAGGGACGGAGTGGAGATGCCGAGGCTCAGCTCCGTAGTCAAGGATGGCGGGCGAGGAGTTCGCCAGCGGTGCGATCTGAGTCAGGGGGGCTCAGCACAGGAGGGCTCATCACCATGGTGCGACGTTGCCACGGGATGGCGGAGGTCCAGGATCACCAGGCGGCGGTGGTGGTGGACGGCAGGGTTCATGTGCACTGGGTGTCGGGCGTTTGCGGCGGTGGTTTTCTGCTTGCCAACCTGTGCCTGAAGGCGGGGGTGGGCCTCAACCTCAGCAGCATGTCGAGTCTCAAGCAGCTGGCGAGGAGGCTCAGACAGTGCCGCAGAGAGTACGTGGTTGGTGGGGATTGGGATCTCAGCGAGGAGGAGCTGCAGGCAGGCGGGGTGCTGGCTCTGTTCAACGCGACCGTGGTCAGACCAGCGGGGCCTACCTGTATGGCGTCAGGGCGGATCATCGACTACTGCCTGGTGTCGCGCGGGCTGCTCGCGCAGGGAGCTCAGGTGGTGGCGGGCTCGCCCGCGTGCCCGCGCGCGCCAGTCATCGTCGAGGTCGCCAAGCAGAAGATGGAGGGCGCCATGAGGGTGGCGCAGGGGCCTCGGGCGTTCCTCGAGGTCAGGCCGCACGGATGCTGCGCGAGGGACCACCGCAGCAGCTGGTTGCGGGCGAGGAGGCGTGTGAGGGAGCAGCCGGGACTAGTCCTGGCAGCAGCTGCGGGCGAGCAGGAGAGGGCGCCAGAGGATGGCGCCGAGGCTGGGGCTCGCCCGCGTGCGAAGGGAAGGTGGTGGCCCCGAGGCGCTGCCGACGGCGCCCTCGAAAAACCGCGTGAGACGGAGGTGGCGCGCATGGAGGCGTGCGCAGAGGAAAGGTGGTGGCCCCGAGGCGTTGCCGCTGTCATCCTCGAAAACAAAACCATGGGAAGCTGAGGAGGTCGCTGGCCGCGCAGAGGGGGCACGCAGGCTGGTCGACGCCGAGGGCCAGCAGGCGAGGCCGCAGGGGGGCGGCGCTGAAGCTGACTGGAGGCCAAACGAAGTGGGAAGGCGGTGGCCCCGAGTCGCTGCCAACGGCATCCTCGAACAAAAAAACATGAGGTCGAGGAGGGCGCTGGCCACGCAGAGGTGGCACGCTCGCTGGTCGACGCCGAGGGCCAGCAGGCGAGGCCGCAGGGGGGCGGCGCCGCTGCCAACTGGAGGCCAAGCGAAGTGGGAAGGTGGTGGCCCCGAGGCGCTGCCAACGGCATCCTCGAAAAACAACCACGCGAGGCTGACAGGCTTGATGACTCTGGCCAGCAGCAGCGCGATGAGGGAAGGTGGTGGCCCCGAGGCGCTGCCGACGGCATCCTCGAAAAAAACCGCAGGAGGGCCAGCGGGCGAGGTGGGGCCCCCTCAGCAGTGCGCTGCCGCCTCCGCCCGCGTTGGCCGCCGAGGTCTCAGGAGGCAGCCTGAGCACGTGCTGCATGCAGCGCGGCGCAGACTGGCACGACACGCTGCAGGTCTGCGGGGTGCAGCGCGGGCTCGAGGAGGAGGCGGCGACGCAGGAGGGGCATGGGGGCTGCCCAGGAGCACCTCCCCATGCTGGGACTGGCGGTGTGCATCCGAGTCAGGCACCGCATGGGATCGCGGGCAGTCCGTTTCAGGCTGAAGTGGCTGAAGGAGCATGCGTGAGGCCCCCCAGCCTCTGGGGAGAGAAGGCCGCCCTCCTCCCGTGGAGGCACGCGGAGGAGCAGGAGGAGAAGCGGGGCGGCGGTGCAGGCGAGGTGGAGCGCGAGGGCGCTGGCGCCAAGGACGCCCTCGCCGCCGCCTTCGCCACCTTCCTGGAGCGCGCAGAGGAGGAGTGGCCGGACGTGTACCAGCTGGAGGGCCAGGGGGCCAGGTACGCGGGCAGGGCGCAGGGCTTCTCCACCAAGAAGGTGCGGCGCAGCGGGATTCAGGAGCCGCGGGCGCCGAGGCACACGCCTGAGGCGGCGTGGATGGCGAGGGTGGCCAGCACGCTGGGGACCGCTGCGAGAGCCCAGGCGCCCCGAGGTAGGATTGATGCGCTCGACTTTCTGCCTAAGCTGGCGGAGCTGGCGCCTCAGAGAGTCAGGCAGTGGCACGAGCAGGCCGAGAGCGAGCAGGGAGGCAACCACGCCAGCACAGAGGCGGGCAGGTGGCTGCGGGCGCTGCAGCACGCGGGGCTTGCGAGCTGGGACCCCGTGGCCCTCTTGACCATGGCCAGGCTGGCCAAGCTGCGCGCCCACCGGCTGGCCAAGCGCGATATCGACGAGCGCGGCAGGCGGTTTGACGAGCGGGTCGACAGGCAGCTGAAGGGAGGAGCAGGAGGGCTGCATGCGGTCACGAGGGTGGCCGTGGGCTGGCAAGGCAGCGACTGTAGTTCCTCGGCAGGGCCCCACAGCCTATGCCAGGAGCTGGACGCCCTCGAGCAGGAATGGGGCAAGCTCTGGCGAGTGCAGTGCGCCCATGAAGATCTGGTGTGGCCAGACGACCTGGGCGTGAGGCCTGGCAGGCCTTCAGTTGAGGAGATGAAGGTGGTGATGCGTACGTTCAGGATGGGCACCGCGGCGGGCTTCGAGGCGGTCAAGCCGCGGCAGCTCCTGGAGCTCATCGGCGAGGGCCTCGAGACGCTCATCGACGTCGTGATGGCGGTCGAGCAGGCGGCGGAGTGGCCGCAGCTGAACAACAAGATCGTGTTCCTGGCCAAGAGGTTAGGAGGAGTGAGGCCGGTGGCCATCGTCCACGTGCTCGCGAGGATTCAGACGAGGCTGCGCAGGCCAGCGGCGGTCGAGTGGGAGCGCAAGAACGATCGGCCTTTCTTCTGGGCGTCCAGAGGGAAAGGTTGCGAGAGGGCGGTCTGGCAGCACGCGGTGGAGTGCGAGTGGGCCTCGGCCAAAGGACGCGATGCGGGCGACGCCTCCAGCTGGGTCGCCGCGTTGGTGCTCCTAGACCTACTCAAGGCGTACGAGCAGGTGCAGCACGGGCACCTCATACGCGCTGCGAGGAGGACGGGGTTTCCCTTGTGGCAGCTCAAGCTGCAGATCAGCCTGTATAGGTCGGCCAGGTGGCTGGCGCGCGACGAGGCTGTCAGCGACGCAATCTACACTGAGCAGGCCGTGTTGCCAGGGGATGGGCTGGCGACGCTCCTGCTCAAGATGTTGTTGCTGGAGCCGCTGGATAGGCTGCAGGCGCTGGTGCCCACGGTGGCCCTCTCGGTGGTCGTGGATGACATCATCATCAGGAGGGTTGGAGGCCTGCAGCGCGTCGTCGGGGACACCACGACAGCGGCCAGGCATCTCAAGGTCCTGCTCGGCGAGGTGGACCTGGCGGTCGCTGTCAAGAAGTCCAGGGCGCTCGCCAACTTCCCTGAGGCGAGGCAGGAGCTGGAGAGGAGGCTGCGCAAGCCGCTGGGGGTGCTGGCGGTGCGGCAGGAGCGCAACCTTGGGGTCGACTTCAGCGGGGGCAAGAGGCTGGGGCGCGCGGTGCGCGCGGGACGCTTCCAGCAGGCGGGGCAAAGGCTGAGGAAGTTCAAGGCGTTGAAAATGGTGAAGGCCAAGAGGTTCGCCACGAGGA